CTTCAAGGTCACCTTCGGTAATTTCAACGCTATAGATCGGACCAAGAAGAACGGCTGAAGAACTTCACATCGGAACTCACGGAACGGAGTGGAATGAGCAGGGTGAAAGGCTGTCTGAGTTTATCATGTCGACCCACACCATCCATGGTAACTCGCAGTTCCAGAAGCCTGCGGCTAACTCTCTTACGGCTGGACATGGGAGTCTCCTGGTGGACAATTCCATAACGAGATCGACCACATCATCTGCAATCGAAGGTTTTGCCTGACCGATGTCGCTGTTGTCCCTAAGTTCTACACGGGATCCGACCATCGTCTCCTTCGCGCAAGATTCCGCTTTTCGATGCGAGGAGAGAGAGCCGCAAAGTTCAAGAAGCGAAGCCCCAAGACCTTCATCAACTGGATCGGGACTTACTTTCTCGCTAGGCTCTGGGAGAATTTGTCATCTGATACATCGACGGAGGAGACTGAACGCTTGTTTGACATCATTCACGACTGCGGCCGAAGAGTCAGAGGTTGTCCAAGATTATGTCAAAGAAGCGTCTTCTATGGAAACTGCGCCCGTTAGCTGATATGGAAAAGTTTGCCTCTTGTTATTCCCTATGCGTTACGCTGGCGCTGGCTTTCAGGCAGCTTTCCCATCACGGAACTGGCAGAAATAATGAAGGGAGCGGTGCAGGGACGGTACTATGTCCGTTATGCTATGCTCGTCTGCGTCCTTCGTCGTTTCTGACATGACCATTGCGATTAGGATAGTAGCATATGTACTATTTCACTCAAGAAAGCAAACTAGGAAATGGCTTGGCAAGGCAACAGGGTGCCCCTCCCTCGACTTATTTTGCCCAATTTTGCTTTTTCATGCAGAAAAGAATTTTTTGTGGCTGCACGACTCTATCTGAAATTTGGACCGCCACCAGCCGCCCACCAGGGTTGGCTGGCGACCGCTTCGTTTGCTGAGTGTGGATTTAACTTAAGGCGAAGCGAATCGGGGTTACGTATCCGGAACAATTTACCCCTCCCCCATTTCTCTCTAGTCGATTCTCTAGAAACCCATCGTTCGGGATGGATTATAAGCTGAGTTCATTCTGTTTAGCTAGAGCTTTTCAGAAGCCGCAAAAAGTGTAGAAAATACATTGGCAATGCTTATCGCAAAGCATTTCTCACCAGATATCGCTGATACGATCTTTGAAGATGGTGGAGTTATCGAGTGGTTACCCGAACTTATAAATCACAGGTAATTGATTATTTGTTGCAGTTGATGTCTTGGTGATGGGGATTTTCATAGGAAAATAATGTGATCTCCTTGATTGCCTTTGTCTTATTGTTTGTTGGTTTATTACTTGGCGCTGTTAGACTTGGAGAGAGGCATTTTTCCTTCCTCCGGTTCCTTTTGCTAATTCACGTTAACTAATGGGTTTTATTTTGGTAAGACCTGTGAACTCTTGTGAAGCTGCAAAATGGGGCTGCGAACTACTTCGGTTACAAGAATTTACAGGTTTTTACATCGTGTTCGTATAAGCTTCGCTGAGTACCATCTGATGCTCCCACCGAGCCGAATCAGCGCCTATTATTTATCTATCCCTTCCCCTCACCAATCATAGCTTTAGAGAGTGCCAGGTGAGCAGACAGACCTTTACTCCTGCTGCTACAGCTAAGCCTTAGGCTGGTTCACAGCCATCTTGCCGCTCCCTTGCAGCTCAGAGACCCGCAACTGAAGTTTTAGATGCATATCGATCAAAAAACCTGGGAGAAGCGGCTAGGAAAGCATGAATAAAAAAGCTAGTCTCAAGTAACTTGGAGGTCGTGAAGCTTCCGCATTGGGAGACCGGGCCACCTTCTCCAGGTTTATGCAGATTGTTCTTGCTGGCCTGTCGACACAGCCTTACTTACAGGCATCACATAAGAAAGCACTCCAGTCTTTATCGAAATATAGAACAATACAATCATCGTACAACTAATGCAACAAACAGTATTGTACTGGCTAAATAACTGTTAATCTGAGTTTCGCCTAACGCAGCAGGCCATTGGTCGAATTTTAGCCTGGACGTCGATATCCTTGAGGGTCTAGTTAGGAATAGGAAGGGTGCGTTTGCCTAAACGGCACCTTCTCTTTGTTGTCAGCCATTAGCCATCTCAATCAGGTAGCCCTGGTTTGTGGGCTGCCACGGGTGTGCCAACCCGATCGAACCTCACACAGCTCTTTTCACGGTCCTTGTGTTTAGTACTTTTTGCTGGCAACGTGTAGCGCAGCGGCGTGCACAGCGTTTCACTAGCGTTTCGCGACTATGCGTTGTCAGTCAAGGAGCGGGCCTATGAGAGTAAATAGAAGAGTAGGTAAGCGTATGAACTTAACATGCTCTTTTCTCTAATGGCAGTTGGCATGGAGAAGCATGAGAGGCAGGATTATCGCACAGACCCTTAACAACCTCGCTAACTCTCTAACGTAGGAGTATAAGGAAGCCTAGTTGGACGAGACAAAATGCTTGTCCTTAAGACAACAGAGAGTACGAAAAGAGGAAGCTGATTTTTGTAACCTCCCGTACAAGAGACTTATATAGTTAACTTCGCTACTAGCGCGATCCGCCGTCGCATCGAGTCTACGCGTGCTCCTATCACACGATTTAAAACTCACGAGCGTGTTCACTACGTTTCGCTAGTGAAACGCTCGTGCAAACGCGCTGCGCCTAGGATCGACTGAGCTACGCCGCTGGCCTAGCTTACGACGAGCCCAACACGTACGCGGGCCGGCTGGGAACGCTAGAATCGATATCCTATCGTCTTTACCCGACACTGCCGCGGGCGATGGATCGTCACCTGGAAGAGCGCTACGCTATGCGCCAGCAAAAAGTTTTATAAACGCACCCATTTGACTTTCTGTAGCATTGAGTGCGCACGCATAATGATAAGCTCGAGACGGAGGCGCTGTCATTTCGAAGTCTTAATGCTACCTTACGTGGTAACTAAAAAAATGTTGGTCAAATCGAAATCGCTGGGGCTGCTGGCGTTTCCCCGGTAATTTTTTTGTCTAGTCACTTCAACTGATTCAATAGAGGAGTAAAAATATGGACTATTACTGGAGCACACTATATGAGTGTTCTGTAATTGCTGAGTCTTATTTCAGGCGATGGCGAACGCTTCTCTACGAATTGATGGATCAATACCCAAATTGTCTTATGCTCAATTTTGCTGTGAAACTTATATCAGATGCTGGTTTCCAGACGGAAATCAGTACAGTCAGCTCAGCTGCACAACAGGTTGGTGAAAAAACTTACAGTCCTCGCTGTGGAAGATGGGGCGTGTCAGTGAGGCTGAGGCGCCATCAATTGTTTAGCGGGTAAGGGACAACAATTAGTAGAAAACGTGATACGAACGATACGGTACAGTTTTGTCGAAAGAAGAAATGCAGAAAAAAAGGCTGGCGCCGCACCAAACCCTTGCCCCCTGGCACGCCCTATCATCCACAGCGAATAAGACTATTACTTCATCTCAACGCGTTCTACTTCAGCTAGATATCTTCTCAAGAGTGCTGTTGACATCGATCGATACGGTCTTGACAGAACACCGAAAAGGCTGCATAACAACGGCGTACGAAAAAGCGTTCGGGGAATTGGTAAGAGCTTTACAATCGATTTTCCCCGTGGGCCAATTTGATTGCTCGCTAGTTGAGTTTTGTGGCATGTTGATGTATGCAAAACTCATTGAAGCGTCTCATAACGAATAACGACTTCCACTTGTCGTTTTCCGCTTGCCCAATGAATTGGGAGGTGGGGGGGGGAAGCAAGGATGGTATGATGGGACATTTTTGAGTGTTGTGAGCTGTAATCAACGGAGATTTTGCGCATAAAAAGGTGGACCTTTTGGCGTTGACCAGTCGCTTTTTGATGAGCCACTCATACTACCCGTTTGGATATATGATGACACTGAATCTATATTGAGGCGGTTTTCGTCTCATAGGGGTAGGACTAGCTTTGCTCAGCTTCTCAGTGCTATAACTCGGTGATTGTGACATGTGCGCCAACTGCAGCACGTTGCGACAGTTTTCAAAGCAGTAGAAATTGAAGGAATAGCAGTTTTCCAGGCGCGAGTTGTGTGTCAGGCGGAGCACACCTACGTCTACACAATGGCATTGTTGAAGGTAAGAC